ATTTCTGCCAATCCACCTGTTTTGAAAGTTGGCATTTAAAAATTGCCGAACTTCGCAGTGTTAATGAGGCGGAGCTCCATCCAATTGAAGCCACATGTTGGTTCTAATATTGAAAAGGACTAACACCCACATGCAAAACTCAGTTCGGTTTTCAAAATCATTTCCATCAAGTTCTTGGCAAAGCTGAATTTTATAAGGATTTGATAATTCTGGAAATACTTGATTGACTAATGTTAGTACTGTATGTAGATATTTTGACTAACATTGGGATTTTCGATAACTGAACCAAATACCGTGAAAACATTTTCTTCATCTTCAGTGACAGATTTCCTTGTAATGGGTTTTTGACACTCCCGCTTTCCTCAAATTGGTGTAATAAGCGCTTAAAAACTGTTGGCTTAGGATGGTTTCTTTCAGGAAACTTTTGAGCATAACCTCGAGAAGCCAATAAACAATTTTTATGAGATTCTCCAAGGGTGAAAATCATGTCAATACGCTCTTCTCTTGGACAATTCTTCATTTTCACTTAGCAACACAATAATAATATTAAAATAACAACCAACACGTCTACAATTACAAAAAACAATACCACTCCAGCTATCAAAAAGAGACTTTGCAGTCTAAACTGAAAAATAAAATAAATGATTTGACATGTGTAAATGGCATAAGCAACTTAGATCCATTGGACCCTTAAATTAAAGAACCCCAAATGGTGCACAGAACGACTATTTGACGTATTTTGTAAAAAGGCGAAAACTTAGCTATTAACTAATACCATTCGATAGGTTATTAAAAATTGCATTTCCTGGTAAGTTAAAAAATATAGGGTTGTATTTAAATTAATCAAGTTAGACTTGTATAGCATGGTATAGCTGTATAGCATGGTAAGTTTATTATCATTGGGATATAAAATATTATATCTTGTTACACTTCACTATAAATTACGCTTACATAACTTAAATATTTTTAAAGTATTTGACACGTGAAAACTAGATTATATTTTGATTAAATTCGTATTATTTAAAAAACCTTAATAATTAGGTATTATAAACATTATTAAAGCAGACACTTATTTTGTTCAGCAAATCCAAAAATGCAATAATATACAGGACATTCCATTTTAAAAAACGCAACTTTGATACCTTTCGAGCTTTTGGGACACCCTGTACATTACGAAAATATTTTTAAAATGTGCGCTCGGTAGGCGACGGTCAATTCATAAAAAAAAATACTTTTTAAAATTCAAACGGTTTAGCCGCAAACTTCTGTGCCGTATAGCGTGAATAACCCTGTATACGGACGTGTCATTTAAAAAGAAATAAGATTTTTGAGCTTGAAAATACGTTAGTTTGGACAAATATCACCACTCTGTTGTTTCAAAAACAAATATTTTGCAAACCAAACATTAGTATGGCATTAATTTTGGTTCTAAAGACGACGAAGATATTTCCGATTTATCAACATTATGAAAATGCAAATTTCCTTCATTAAAACTGAAACCGAATAACTGAAAACACTCCATTTTTCTTTCATATTTTTACAGCAAAAAGCAATTGAAATTTTATGAGAATTCAAAATACTTAGTAAAAAATATGGGGTTTTCTATTATCAATTCCTGGGCTTCAGTCATTTATTGTCTATTTATCAATTAAAATACGTTTCGGTGTTTTCCACTAGAAAATATATGCCAAGGCTTAAAGTAGCAACAACGCTACACATAGAAACTGATGATGGTGGAAACCACCGAAACGTATTTTAATTGATAAATAGACAATAAATGACTGAAGCCCAGGAATTGATTTTGATTTGGATAGAAATAGTGATGATAAATAATGATTTAGTTTATTAAAAAAAAAAATTTTAGCATTGGTAAACTAAAAATAATATACATATTCTAAAAACAAAAACAAAACATGGGTCATAAATAATTACTTAAAGAAAAAAAAATCATAATAAAATCGAATGGTTTAAATAAAACATACGTTCTGAATGCAAAAATATTTTTTACTAATTTTCACTTAAAAATTAATTAACATTTTAGAATCTTTTTTGCGTAAGCTTTTTAATAAGTCTAGTTCTTCGCTCGTTTATGATAGCATCCGCTTTGGAACATAATCTCTCGCATGGAACAGAAATACTAATATACCTGTGTTTTTTGTTATAAAAGAAAAAAATTTCAATTTTTCTTCTTGTCTATCTTTTAACTGAACTTCCTCTTATTCATGGGACACCACAGTTTTTGGAAATGCATTTGAATTATTTACGCGTGTTATTAAGTCAATAATAACATTAAATAATCCACAGTAACAGTAATACTTATAGAGTAAAAATGCTGAATTATATTATCACCGAAACTAAAGATTATTTCGCTGATCTGACCAATTATGGTGTGCTGGAGAACTGAACAGTAATTCTTATAGACGAAAGATGATAAACACAATCATCACTTTTTCGGGTTTATGAAACGGTTTCAGAAACAACCGGTTAAATTGGCAAAGGGTAACTGTGGCTTCAGGTTACACGTCTGGAATACTGTTTAGCGGTTACGTTAAATACCAACCATCCCTAGTTTTTACGAGTAATCAGATCTTTTTAAGAATTTACGAATTGCTAATTTACTGAATATATTGCAATTTTGCTAACAGTAAAAAGATTTCGAAAAAATGATTGTCGAAAAAAATGTTAATGATTATTTCAGTATTTTCGCTATTCAACAGTCCGCCAAAAATGGGTCTATCTTGGATGAGGTCTGAAGAAGAAAGGATATGTTTCAAAACGTCGTTTCAAAATAGCCCCAAAAATTTTCGACCGCTTTCGCTAATTTGATATTTCGAATTCCCGAAAATATGTTTTAAACTTCGATCACTCCTGAAAGATAGACATTTTTGCTTCAGCCCTTTTAAATACTAGGGGTTTCTCTCGATTAGCACCACCGCCAATAAAATGCCTCTCTGTATAGCAAAAGAGCTTAAAAAATACCGTTTTCACTACATACATAGTGGAATATCTCAGTTTTTTTCGGTATTGGAAATTAGATTTATTAATAAAAAAAACGTTTAATATGTGAAAAAACGAGAGAAAGTGAAATAAGCGAATGGGGCAGACTTCGGTTTACTCTTATTATTATCGGCTTATTACATAATATTCTGCCGACCCCAAACATATACAACAAAACGTATAGCTGCGATTCTAATCATTGTAATCTTCGTAAGAAACTTGGACCTTCAAGAACCCTATTTTAAACTATCAATACAGTCTTTTATAAAGATAATACCCACTATACAAGAGGTACGGAAGTAAACCCCCATACATTTCAGAAGAGTATAATAGATTTTAAAATAATTTTAAATGTACTTTGGTATTTTTGCAAAATTCA